TAATTTAGCATGTTTGCGCTCATGTTCGCATCGCTGATTTCTTGACTATTATGGAATGATGTCTTTCCCACCGTGTCACCTTCGGCTTTCAGAAGCTGCAACGCATTGGCATAGTCCACGATTTCCAGCCCAATCGACCTGCATGGACAGCCCAGAACCAAAAGTTTGTGTGTTGAGAACCAAGTCAAACTATCGGAAAAAGACTCCAACAAACCTAGACGGAATGCACTAAAATCAACCACTGCCCCAAACCCCACCACCCCAAATCCTGGCTACATGTGCTAAAACCATTTCAAGCCCCTTCGGTAAACTGCTGCCAGGGCACGCGCCCTTGATGAGCTTGTGAACCTTGAAGCAAGGACCAGGTGAACAGGCTGCTAAGCGCTTCCTACTAGTAGAGATGGCGTGTGGTGTGCAAAGGCTGCTACGCAAGAGGCCGCACCCCTGAGAGGCCTTCTCGGTGAGGGCCTTCGCAAGGGCTGCGGAGTTGCCAGGCGCAGCATCCTGTTCAGGGCTTTGGGTTGACCTCTTTCAAGTCTGAGATTGGGGTTTCCACAAATAAGGGGCCCGAATATAAGCTGCAATACAATGTCATCCTTGTTGTAAGCAGACCCAAAAAGGGGCCCCCCTCTTATGGAAACCTCCACATGGTAATCATGAGAGCAAGAGTGGATGGTTGTTCGGCGGAGGCAGTGTACTCAAACACTTGGGACTTTTGGGTACTAATTATTCAGACTGAGTCTGCACACAAAATCTGAGCGCATGCACGCTGACAGTGCCAAATCTCGTGACAAGATCGCATCTATGAGGAGCCGGTAGGGCCATCTCGAAGTTGTTATCGAGAATTGAGGGTTCTGTTTTGCAAAATGTTGCCTTGCTATGGCGCAAGCTCGAGAGAACACCTGCGTCGCTGACAGGGTTTACAGAAACAAGTCACTCGAACACCCTGGCATTTGCTGCTGTCGTTGGTCTGGTCTCACGGGAATGGAAGCAAAGGCCCAAAGTAAAGCCAGGACTGCGCAAGTGTCCTTGGCAAAGGCCACGGAAAAGGTCATGAAAGCCTCTGGCGTGCTGGGAACGCTCTCCACGCATACCTCGCCTGCGGCCAAGCTAGGGTACAGGTGGACTTAGCTGCCTTCGGGCGGACATTGTGCAAGTTTTATGGGAAACTGCTTTGCATCTGAAGAAGACTACCTCACTTCTTTCAACACCCTCTCAAATCCCCATTTTAATCTGGAGCATGAACATCTCTGTGTGAAGGCTCGCCTTGCCCGAATGTTCTGAAGGCAAAGGCTGGAAGGCCACACTTCAGACTTTGATCCTCAATGGGAAAGATTCTCAAAAAATACTTTCCGGGTCAGGCTACTAGCACTCTGGTCCTATACCAAAATACCTCCCCATGAACTTGACGAGCGCCAACCCAACTCCATTTCATGAGCCCAAACCGACACGTATTTGTCTCGCCTTTCTCTGGACCATGCTCTGCCCAGCAAGCAGCCGCAACCAACGTCACCAGCGACTGAAGGGCAACCTTATTGGTCATTTGGTAGGAGCTTAAGATCTCTGACCTTCTGTGAATGGCTTCCATCTTGCCAGCACCCATGCCGGTCCACTGCACCTAGTAATAGCGGAAATAATAGTAAGGGTAATACGAAAAATCATAGTAATACTCGTAGTGATAGTAACAGGAATAAGGAGAGTAATGGGTCAGCTGATTATAGTCATAATTGTAAGGCTAATCAGCACAGTAGTTCTCTACCGAGCTCAGGGCTTCCGCTTGCCCGTCGGGTGGTGCGTTGGCCAGGTCCACAGGCTTCATGTCTGTCCCTGGGCCCGCAGGCGGAGCCTCCACAACTTGTGGTGGAAGAGGCGTGTCTTTCAGGAACAGCAGCGGAGATCAAAATTCGCCATTGAACTGCCTCAGCAGCCTACTGTGAGCTTGTTGAATCAGTTGCGGTGGGCCATGTAACCATTGGCTTATGTATCTCTCTTGACAAAATTTCTAACAAATCCGAAGTCAGCAGGGGTGCTAGCCAGGAAGGACAGCTAGCTATACACATCATACCAAAGTCTTAGGATCCCTGTCTTTGTGAGTATAAAGGGGCCCAGAATTCTTGTAGACATCTAGGAACCTGTTTACTTCCCTGCCCCTTGCCTTGTTCAGCTCCGCAGCCCAGAGCCAGTCCACCTGCAGAAGCTGTGGCGTGGCTAGAGCTTCGCTGATGTCATACCCATGGTAGCAAACACGAGGCCCCCTTGCAATGGGATCTTGTGGCAAGGAATCGGATAATCACGTGCAAGGAATCGGGGCCCTACAAAACAACTTTTGAGAAAGACTCGGAGAATCCAAGCTCCCAACTCCCGAAGCTTATATATCCCTGTATACCCCACCATATCCTTGTTTAACAGCCAGTTGATGTGCATCATAATTTTGACATTATGCCTTCCTAAAGGGAGCATTCCCAAACCCAATCCGTAATTTGGGACTATTGGTCGCATGTAAGGACTATTACCAATTACGGATTACTGGAGCCCCGAAATCCTCAAATTAAACTCTCGGAGGCACCAAGCTCGCATAGGGCACGAAATCCTTCGCCACGAAACCCGCCACATCCCAGAGCTGGTCCTGAGCTGTTCACTTCCTCATCCTCTTTCCTTGTGTGTATTACTAATGAGAGTGCTGTTGCTACTATAATTACTATCATACTGTTTTTGCGGTTGCCACTGCCCATCATGTGAACCCCCACCCCCTAGAATTGAATATGTCCACATTGTTTAGAGACCCCAATAACCAGTCTTCGATCAAGCAATGTTTATACTGCGGGATGTTAGGGACTCATACGCGCATTTTATGAAAAAATCTGCAGCTTCGAAGGGAAATATAGATACATATCCCCAAATGATACATTAAAAAAAGACTTGTACCCCGCCATAAATGAATGCATCAATTTGGGAAATCCTTGTATCGCGCGTAAGTCCTGCATAAGGGTTAAATGAAATCCACTCCTACACGAAACCCTACATCCTATAGGGCTCACCCCGCGGCCCCCCCCCCTCCTCCCCCGCCCATCCACATGATAATGATACAGGGAAGGAAATTCCCCTCCCCACCCCCCTGCCCCCCCTGAACGGTCCTGTGGCGCCTGTGGGTTTGGTTTGGTCTCAATCAACTTGTGGTATTGTGTCCGCTCCTTCCACCCCGCACATGATATAGGGAAAAAGTGTTCCCCCCCTCCCCCCTGCGGTCCTGTGGGGGTGCTGGCGCCTGTGGTGCTTGGGGGTGTTGGTTTGGTCTCGATCAACTTCTCTGTGGTCCCGGTGGGGGTGAGGGTCCGGTCTCAGTCAACTTCTGGTTTTAGGTACATCCCTCCCACCCTGCACATGATACAGGGAGAAAGTGTTCCCCCCCTCCTTTCCCTGTGGTCCTGTGGGGTGCTGGCGACTGTGGTGCTTGGGGGTGTTGGTTCGGTCTCAGTCAACTTCTGGTTTTAGGTTACTTGACCGCGTCTTGCCCTCCTTCCTTGTGACTGTACGCATTTTTCAGACCTGGTGCATCAAATCATGACAGTTACGAGAATGGCGCCTCCAAGGCAAAAGCGGGGACAGGTACGAGGATCGCGAGCTTGACACCCACCGGCACTGTGACTGTTGGCATTTTTGAGATCTTTGACATCAAAAACGATGACACTTACGAGGATCGTAAACTGGAAGCCCACCATCCCTGTGACTGTTCACGCTTTTAGGAGGTCTGAGCTGGGAGAGGACCATACCATGGAGGGGGGGAGAGGGGGCGGGGCTCAGAACGCACAGCGCGCAACCATGTATGGGTCTGAAGGGGGTTCGGCAAGAAAGTGGTATGGGGCTTGAGGAGCCACCAGCTCAGGGCTGGCAGAGGATTCAGGATTTTCAGTTCTGAAGTGAAGCTTTGAAAGTTGTAGCCTAGCGATGTCTTCGAGCTGGTGCCATTCTCGAAGGTGATGCTGGGAAGACCACTTAGAGTCCTTGCAACAAACAGGCACCAATGACGTGACTCTGGGTCACTTGCATATCCGGAGTCTGGGTCCCGGCCTAATCAGGGACTCCCAACATGGATGACGCCTGAAATGGCTCAGAAGGGCTACTCCATTCAAGGGAACCTATGGGCCAAAAGCTTGCCATGTTGTTCAAGCAAAGTGTCCACGTGCTCCTTGACAAAGCCAGCCTCAGGCACTACCATAGGACAATGTTGCAGTTGTCACTTCCTGCACAATGACTGCACCTCGCTGCCCTCAGATGTCTTGGGCAACTTGGAAATCAACGCATACTGTTAGGTCCACTAAATTCGCACAGAGTCTCAGTACAGCTTGGGGCCCCGGCTTTGATCAACAGCCTGTGCAGCAGAGGCTGCGAGACAAGCCCATTCTTCTTCGTGTCAAAAGTGCGGAAAATTGCCAGGAGCTCTTCTTTACCGCTCGCCATTGCTCGGTCGGGATGCTGGGTGGCCGTGGGCTGGATACTGCGGCCGGCCAAGCACGGAACAAGCTATCCATGCAACCCAGAATTCAAAAGTCTTCTGGTTTATGATGCGGGCATCTGAATCTGTGCAAGCTGTCTACGTTTCAAGCGACGACGAGGCTGGAAACAAGGTGCAAAAGCAGGTGCGCAGATTAGCAAGCAATTCCTTGTCGGCCCATCGCCCACAGTTCAAAAAAGAGCTGCAATCCCGCTTGAAGTCTCAGCAACATCGGGGTTTTCCGGCAATAAAACCTTTTTACATATATATATATACACATATTTGCACGTGTCTACATATCCCAAGATGCTAGAACCCGTTTTCTCGGAAACCTCAACCTTCAACCTGTGTATCCCTATACCCCTGAAGAACACCCATCTCATCCCCATAGTATCTTGGGGTTTGAGGTAACTAACATCCCCTTCAAAGAACGCCTATGCAACTATTAGACTTCAAAATCCCTTCATCACCCCCAGGTAGCCCCTATGTAGCCCTACTCCCCACAGGCCTCAGGTAGACCTCCCTGCTGCTTCCTGGACTGACTCTATCTTTGCAAGGGCTTCGGAGCTCAGACCGCTGCATGGGAGGATCTTGTTTTTACAGTTATCTATCTTGTTTTTGCCCTTTCTATAACGTTCTCCCCTGTGTATAGGAACCTATAAGGGGAAAGCTTTCAACATTCTCCCGGTCTGGGAACAGATGCTTCCGATGCTATGGCAATGAATTCGGGATTGCTACCCCAAAGAATACATTTACTCAGGACCATCACAGATATCAGATGGCAACCACGCTCATGCTGGCAGCAACCGCAGTGTTCTTGGGTATGATGGGATTATGCGGATAGAGCACGGGTTCTCCGAATGAGCCAAAGTGCTTGCCCTGCCTCAGCCCATGCTCTGTTTTGCAAATGTTTTCATCAACTCAATCCTTCAGATTCCCTCGTGTCCAAGCTGAAGGAGTACTTCAATTCTGAACTTGTTGGTGTGGATATGTCTATGCATGCAAGAAATATTCTACTGATGTAGCGAATGCACAGTGCATCCAGAAACCTAGCTTACAGACAGACCGGCGAGTGGTGTTCATAGGTCATGCCAGCTACTTCATGGAAGGTATTGTCGAAAGCAGCGGTTGCACAATATCGATAAGATATGCCGTAGGACGAGTCCTCAAGCTTGCTTCGTTTGAGGCTTCCGATGGTGAGCTTTCTGGCACAGGCACCTTGGGCTTCCAAAGCATCGGCAGCAATACCAAAATGTTCCGACAGCAGTTCTTCGCAAGGTGACTGCACTACCGAGCCACTGCTACTTGTATTCTCAGTCCAACTCCTTTTGCAACTCTTTTACTCGTAGAGATGCAGCTGGGATAGTTGAGGGTCCATGTTTGGAACCATGTGAGGCGTCAATGGAGAAAGCCGGGATTGTTGAGGGCTACATGGGTTTACCCTCTTACTCATGGTTCATAGCACGACGCCAAAGATTTTGGCCCATAAGCAAGGGTGACGCTGGGGTTGTGCAACGTATCTCTCTCGTTTGGGTACCTCAACTACACCTTCAGAGCCCAAACTGTCGCCGACATCATCCCGCAAGCCCCATAGCTTTCCAGACATCACCCCGCACACTGTTCTTTGAGGAGTCTCGCACCACCCTACATGTCTAAACTCCCACTGGATACTGGGCGGACGTAATTTGTGCAAACGTGCTCTTTCAACAGTCGAAATCACGGAAGACGTGTACCCCAAACCCTAAACTTAGATCACCAGGAGATCTTATCCTAAGGCTGACGCCGGTGTAGCTGCTCCAGCACCGTGCTCTTGGGTTTGGGCAGGTGCCTGCTCTTCAGTGCAGGATCCAATAGGGTGCATCTCCCAATTGCGTTAGTAGCGGTTAGAGGGGAATGCAAAGGTTGGAGTTTAGGGATTGGAGTTCGCCAAGAGCGGGGCTACCCTCACAGACCTTCGCAATACGTGCAGAATAAGATTATGGGGCCCCATGTCGGAATTCTAGAAGGACCACCTCTAGAAAGGTCAGCTGCGTGTCCCCAGAATACTTAAGCCCTGTATGAAGGAACTCCTGGTGCGGAAGCCTTCCACATTACCCGAGCCCTAAATGAACCCTGATTGAACTGATGCTCGCTCCTACAGATCCTCAAGTAGACTGGTCAGAAGAAAGACATTACTAGTAAAACGAACTTCGCGACACTTAGGCCCCAAACAGCGCACCACCAAAACCTACAAACCAAACCCTTCAGCTTGTAGGTCTCTGCTTATAGGCGGGCTACCAAAATCCCCAGACGCCTCAAGCCCCAAGCCCTACCTTTTTCCCTTAACTCCGCCACCTCCGCCGGCTGTATGCTTCCGCGGTCTTCCCCGGCCGTGTCGTCTTTCCTGGGCTGGGCCCAGCACTGTCTGCAGCTGCATGGGGTATGGGAAAATAGATTGCAGGGGTTTTGAAGAATCTCAAGGTCAATGAAACCTCCAGGCGGGTAGTTACCAGGCGTGTGCCTTTAAAGAAGGCCCTCATAGCCCCGGTATCCTTATACCAGCCTTATGTGAGCCTGATTTGGGGTTACCCATGTGGTAACTACCCGGTCCACTTCCCACTTGAGGGTGTCCCTTAGCCAGGAGTACTGTGGCAACCATCGGGCCCCTCTCCATTGTGCAACTAAGAACCCACTCACTCCTATCCACAGAAAGCGTGCCATCACACTACCCCTTACCATCGGCCTGAGGTGTTGTGGCCTAAGGCTTGAGTATTTTCAATGTTCGCGATTACTGCGGACCAGTGATTCACAATCCCAGCATGATGTATACTAGGGGAAAGGGTCTGTCAATCAGGCTTTGCATCAGGATCCAGGGCCTGGAGAATAGCAATAACCGTAATGCAACATGTTGCATAGGAATGGCAAGTGTATGCTCGAGAGGCATCACGAAATCACAATTGCTGAATTTGGATTACAGCTCAGTACTTTTGGCAACTTTCGGAATTTTCTGGGGAATGGAGGCACCTTGCAGACACCAAAGGTCATCGGTAATAGTAAGGCCTGAACAGAACTACTTTCACATGGCTGCTAAATGCATCAGGCTGCAGCTCTTCAGGGATGTCACTGTCATCGGCATCGTCATCTGCCTCCTGTCCAAACAACTTGGGGGTGTACGTGTTGGCTACTAGGGCTTAATGTTTAGGGTACAGGGAGCATGCTCCTGTATTCATGAGGGGTGAGATGCGAGCAGTGAGAAAAGTTGTTCAGAACCCAAGCAAGTGGGGAATGGGGTAGACATTGCCCAAAACTGACCAGTCAAACACAGCTTCAGCAAGGACCTCCTCTGAAAAAGCCATATCTGTGCCGACTGGAACCAACCCAGTGTCAATGCTCAGTCAATTGATCTTGGTTTTCGATTCTTACAAGCAAAGTCTGTTCAGTTTAATGTGGCTAATGTTGTCTAAGGATGACCTCCCTGGAGCAACATTACATCTTTGTTGAATAAGAAACATGCTAGCTCTGACGGCCGAAGACTCCTCCTCCTCCTGCCAACCTAAGCCATACTGCTAAGAAGCGCGCATTGCCTCGCTCCTGGGCATCCTTGTTGCCTTTGCCCCTCCGCTTTCCACGCCGACGCCTGCGTCGCCTTAGACTGGGGCGAAGACATGGCAACTACCAAAAACTGACGAGTCGTGTAGTAGGGATTATGTGCCTTTGTTCAGATTATGGCTGCTTTTCGGGTACCAACTACAATCTGAGGTCTCATCTTCCTGGGTACCACAATGCTAGTCACCCTTATAAGGGTGATGCGGACGGTCTGGAGGATTTGCAGATGGGACGATAAGGAGTTATCCAAGGTTGCCGGATCAGGTTCAGGCAAATGAGGACGGGCCTGCGCACAGCCGAGGCAACTACAACTAGGCGCCTATTTTGGCCAATCTCCTATGTCTGATCCGACCTTCTTGTCTCAGGTGGAAGCTGCGATGACCTCGTCATACCTCGTCCAAAGCATGACTCTCCTCCCTGACCACCATGTTTTTGAGTTGGTGCCTAGGCGCGCATGGCTATAGAAAAATGTACCATCTGTTTCATCCTTCATGCTGGCGCAGTATGACGATAGTGTTGTTTTGAGGAAGCAGGCTGTCTTCTTCCTGGGAACAGCGAGTATGGCTGCTCTGTGCAGTGGCTCCATGAATCCAAGTCATTGTTGTAAGAATCATATGGGTCCAAACCCCCTCAGCCAGTTTGTCTCACACACGCACAAACAAACCTGAAAAAGCCTCTGCTGCTCTGCCAATTTCACCTTCCTATGATCACAGATTTCTCCAGCCAGGGGATTTGCACACACTTGCCCACACATCACATCCATTTAAATTCCTCTGCCTGTGCCCCACGCACTCACCCCATCCTTAGGACCTCAAATCCAAAACCAGCCGAGGCCGACTGAAGAAGCCGTATACTAGCCTGTAATCAACACCCTGGGAATCATATCATGTTGGGGATCCTATGTGGGGCCAGATTTCCTCCATCCACTCGGGCTCGAATTGCGGTCCCAGTGGCTTCTTCTTGATGTCCTCTGGCTCTTCTGCCTCCAAGGCTTGAGGATATGATTGCCACACAGTCAAAGGTTTAAAATACAGGGCTTAGGGGACCACACCCAAAGTAAATGTTGATCTGAGACTCTTCCTCCCTGGAGCAGTTTTTTTTTTGAGTTGGATTTTGCACCCCTTTTGGCCCCCCGAAAACTATAATCCATAATGTATGGACTCACCCTTCAGCTCCAGCCTCTTTTCATCAGGTGAAGAACTCTCAGAAACGAGGGTTTGCAGCGATTTGGGGTTCCTTTTGCGGAGTTCCCTTCTGACGATCACTATGTTTTAGGGTATGTATGGGGCCCTCCATTGGTGGAAACATGAACATCTGTTTAGGGCCCTGGTGTGATGTCACGGCACAAGACCACAGGCAATCAATGAATCAGTGTCCTGTCGCTGGCCTTACCGGAACAGAATGCCCCCAAACTACCTTCGACCCTTAGCACTTCTTGCCATTATTCCACCTCTGGGGGGGCTTGTAGCACCAAATGCCATACCAAATCTATCCTTGCATTGTATGTCCCCATATTTACCCTATCCAGTTCCAGCTGTAAGATGCGGGTCCCAGCAGGAAGCCAAGGATAATGCTGCCTCTGGCTGCTGGCTTGGGTCCGCTGGATCCTGCCTGTTGCTTCGGTCGTTTCAGATTCTTCAGGAGATGCAAGCTCGGGGCATTTTGGTTTCTTTTTTGCAGGAGCTGTCCTATCATGCATTATACACGGTTCCAAGCACCCACCTCCTGTATCGACCCAAACGATCCAGAAACGCGCAATGGATGGCTCGGGGGTACCAGGCAGCGCTCTTTTAAGCGGATATGGTCTTGAACTGAACGAGGGTTTCTGAACAGGACCTTCGGGATGTTGGGATTACAAAGGACGGGATTATGCATTATGCAGTCCCTAACAATCTTTCTACACAGACTGCTTCCAGAATCTGCCAAACATGTACTGCAAACCTTTTGGAATGCAAACTCTCAGAGGCCATAGCATAATCTTGAGAACTGCTGCTGTCTTGCAGTAGCTTTAGGGTCTGTAGTGTTGAGTCGTCCCCTAGACAGTTCTGTTGCAGTCGGGATGGCGCTTCAAAGTTTTTGGGAAACTCTTCACGAGAAGCTCGGAGCGACATGTTTCAAAAGTGCTGCCTGACCTCTAGCAGCCGGAGTCTCTGGACCCCCAAACCTGTCTCACTGACGGTCAATGCAATAATGAAGCAACAAGAAGAACTCGATGATCTCAAGCACCAGAACTCAATGTGAGTGGGCGTGTCGTGGCTTGGTGTTCTGAGGCTGTGGTGGCTGAGAAAGCTTCATACACCACGGTGCCGGCTAGCTTGACAACCAAGGCGGTCACGTGGACTGGTTAGGTCTCACTTGCTTCGCGGCAATTCCGGCCGAGTGGCTGCATCGAGGAGCTCACCGACGGCTGTTCTGCGTCCTTTAGCAGAGATCAACTGTTCTGGGCTCGGGCTCCAGAGCCTTTGTAAGTGTAAGCAGGAAAAGGATACCAGAGTACTATAACCTTATAAAAACTGCAGGCTTACACGGAGGACTGCTCAGATTTAGCCTTAGGAGCAGGAAAACACACAGATTATGCTTGTTTTCTTCGGGCTCTTCAAGAATGACGCTTTTTAGTATGGAACTTGTCATTCCAATCGCAAGCTCTGCCTTCATGAATCAGGCCCCAGCTGTGGGAGATCTGTTGATTGGGAAATTTCTCGAAGCCAAGGTCTCAAACTGCGCTCGCCCCAATGCTGCCCTTTTGTGCTATCACCCTACGAAAATGCACCGTCATTTTGAACAGCACCCATCATGTGTTGATTTGTAAAAGTGCCTGCACATCGGGAGCTGCACTCGGTTGCAGGGTCTGCATCTGCTGCTGGATCAAATGCTGCTCCAGCGCCTTGGTAAGTCAGGGTTTGGGTTCAGGGTGTAGGGTTCAGGCAGCAAGCAAGTCACAACATGCGAAGGTTTAGGAATTCTGACCCAAAACAACAGGAATATGTGATGATGCATGCACTGAAGACTTTGCCCGGCCTGGTGGGTGTGTATCTGTACAGGCCGCACCTGGCTGCCTCCTGTGCAGGATGTGGTGGAAGCAGCAGGTGCTAGGTCATCCAAGTGCCCGACGCAAGTACTTGGAATCTCAACCCCACCGTTTAAGGTCAGATCGGGTGAGGTCTTTATATTTTGGCCAGAACAACGGCCTGTGCAGTGGTGAAGCAAGGTGTGCCAGGATTCCAGTCCTGTCGCCATTTCAAAGCTTCCGGCATTGCTCACAGCAGCGGCATCGCTCGTTGCAAACTGAGGACTTGTGGTAGGCCTGGCCACGTGTCTGGACGGCTCGCATGTTGTCAGGCTGTAAGGTTAGTAGTTGCCTGCGTTCCTCAGCCCTCTCGACCAAAGACGAAGAAGGAAGTCCTGCAAGCCCTTTTTATGCGGGTATTGCTCCTCGATAACAAATAGGGATCAACTCTGCCCCTCCTTAACTGTTCACCAATATTGTTGAGTTTAGGGTTTGGGGATTCATTGCTTGTGAAGGCAAGCACCCTGTGAACCAATTCCCTCTCCCGAATGATCCACCTAAACGCTCGAATGAATGCAGGCCCACTGTTGCAAACTCACGAGTGGTGGTTCTAGATACCGACTATGCGCCAAACCCTGAACTTCTGAAGCTTATCCCTCGACTGCGCCCCCAACTCCTAAAGTCTAAACCATGAAAGCAGCCCAGGCAGCAGGATACATAGCGGCGTCTGCGGAGGTGGCGCTGCTGGCATGCACTGCATCATGGCAGCCTCCCAAGCTACCCTTTGAAGGGGAGGGACCTGAAGGGGTCCAATAATGGAGAACCAAATGGAAAAGAACATGGGACATGAAATGGACACCATTCTGCAGGGTTATGGAATTTCGGAGTTATGGCTTCGTAAAGACTATCTCACCACCATCTGGGCTGATAGGGTTCATGTGAAGATAATGGGAAAGCATCATGTCAGGGACGCCGGCCCAAGCATTGGCACGGTACCATCAGCCCTCAGCCTAAAAACCCAAATGAATAGATTGGATTGCAGCTTGTGCTGCTCGGACGCGTGTAGCAGAAGAGCTCACTCTACATGCTAAACCTTACCTGTCCTTACCTGAGACATGAAGATGAGGACTGTCATTATAACCAGTATGGATTGAATGGGAAGAATCCTGAAGATCCTTCCCGACTCTCCTTTAAGTACCGATACAAGCCCGTAAATTCAAATTCGAAGCCCGAAGACCACACCCCGCCTCAGTTGAAGGGAGCCCTGGCGGGCCATATGGGTATGCTGCCCAGTCCGTCGGCACCTGTCCCCGCCAAAAGCCCAACCCCCAGTACAAACTGGCTCCTTGCAAGGATTAGTTATTGCGGGCCCAAGGGGAATTAGGGCCCATAAGGGGTTGGGGGGCCCGTTTGAGAGGGAAGCACGTCTAAAGGAGGTCAAATTTCATGTTGCCACAAAGATAAACACGAATATGTTCCAGCGAAGACCTCAGAGGCCTTCCTACTGTTGGAAGTGGACACATGCCTCTCAACATTAAGGCTAGACGTGCCGCATAGCTTCTAAACCATTACTGTTTAATACTTCTCTTGCAGGTACTAGGATTATTCTGCACCAGCCCTAAACCCTAAACCTGCCTCCTAGACTTTCAACCTAAACCAAAACCCCCAAATCCTGTGAATTCCAATCTGTTGAGGAG